AGAACAGTCAACAATTCTTCAGTGCTGTGTGATTCAGACCTGATAGGAACAGAATTAGAGACAGCACAGTAAGGATTTGCTCCCATCATAGCTGTGCTAGTGTTGACAATTTCCAGAAAAACATACTACTCTAAACACAAGACACAAGGCAATGGTAACCCAAAAATAACAACATTGGTAAAAGGCAAAACGTAGAAAGTGTGTTTTGGGTTAATTTAGTTACTACCGCTGCTTTGACTAAATACTGAAGACTTAAAACCTAGGGATTATTAACTAGACCTACTAAGATGGGAACAATGATGGGGTAATGCAAATATTCACGGAAGGCTGAGTTCAAGAATGCAAATACACCTTACCTGCACAAGCTGTAAAAGATAATGAAGAACATCATCATCTTCTAAACTTTCCAGTTTTTGAACTGCCATTGCTCGGACATTTTCATCTGAAAAGTTACAGTCCAGAAGTTGCATTGTGAGTCCAACATCTAAAGTGCTTTGATCCCAAACCTCCTTTTTAGCTAGCAACTGGTATGTTTTGGCCACTATTTCTTGTTGTCCCCATTTCACAGAGCTAAGCAGCTTAGGATATGCCTTGGGGTGCTTTATGCTTTCATATCTAAAGTGCCACAACAGTTCTTTGTCCTCAGGAGAAAGTGGATTAAGTGGGTCAGTTGCTATGATCTCTTCAAGTTGCTTGCGAAGCTGGTTGGGCATTTCAGCTCGTGTCCTATCCCCTTGGGGGTCTGATGTTATCCTGTGCTTGGGCAAGGCAATTGGGTGACAATATTTGTCCAGCACAATAGAGATAGCCATTGAGTTTTCTTTATCCGGGTTAGTTGCTGATGTGAGTTTGTCTGCATTGATACTTCCTTGTTCTTCCCCCTTCCCTGGAATTTTCCACATGTGGAGCACATACTCCCCACTTCGTAGCAAGAAACGGTGATCTATCAACAAGAGATTTACATAATAGAGAAGCTGAGTTTTGCATTTTGAATCAGAGTTGGGGGATTCATGTGACTGAAGGTTTGTCTTTGTGGACAGTCCCTGTGTTTTGCCGCAGTATATCTGAAGATTCAGGAGGGCTCCTTTAGGCAAGTCCTTGATTTTGATATCAAACTCCAACCAAATATTCCACAAAACCTCCTCAGTGAAAGGCTTCGATGAAGTCCTCCTTTGTGAAAGGAGCTGCTGCCCATGTTGAATGTTAGCCTCCACAAACACAGTAAGATCAGTATTTCTCGGTAAAACTGGGATATCAATGCCAATTATTTTCACCCTGAATTTCCTATTACAATCCCACAAAGAGATAGTGAAGACTCTCTCATGATCTTTTCCGTCTATTGTCAATTGTTCGTGATACCCTGTAACTCCTGTACAGTCATCCACCAAGGGCCACTCTTCCTTCTGAACCTCATCCTCATTTGGGTCAGGGGGATTGTCTAAGACAAGGTGGATTTCTTCCCCATTCTTAAGGCACTGTCTTATCCAGTGAAAATCTTTGATCGGTGTCTCTCCAGTAATGTACTCATCTCTGCCACAAATCCTGAGAACAAAATCCAGTTCACTATGATCTTCAGGAATGTCCATCAAAGACTTTTTCTTCGCCATTTTTGTGAAAAAGCTGTGGAGAATCATATCTGGAGTGTCATCTATTGACACTTTAATTTTTTGGCTAGTTGTTCCTCTATGTATAATTATGAAAATGTTATTATTAGTGATCTTTTTAAATAAATATTCTGGGAGTGGCTTAGATGTTGTCCATGGGTGCATTGCATACAATTTAGGATCTCTACAGGCTACCTCTATCATTCGTGGAGTGACTAATCTGCGACGGGTAAATTCTAGTTCATCATCATGCACGTTGCTTACATCAGTGACATCATAACCGATTAAGTTGTTAAGCTGTCGCTGAAATTCCTGAACTTCTTCTGATGGTTTTTGTTTCTGGACAACATAGATCTTGCCTACCTTTTTCTGTAACACTTTCCAGTACAGTATGCAGTCCAATGTCTGTAATACTTGATGTTTATCATAAATTTCATACCATTGCCCTTTCTTCTGATACTGCAGAATAAATTGATCCGGGGTGAATGTGTGGTAGAAGTCTGCGGTTTGACTCATCTCTATTGCACGCATCCAAATCTGTGCTTTCATTTGCTCAACTGTACAGTTGCCAGCTATTTCGAGTAACATCATTTCCGGTACTTTAGTATGTTTATTGCTTGTAGGTAAAATGAACTCAATGGATATCAGTTCCATTGACGACAAATTACTAGATGTACAATGAGGTTTCATTCTTCTTCTCCTTCGTTTGTTTTCTTCTCTCATAACAACAGGTTGTTCATAATCCCCCAGCTCCATGCCAGAAGAAATCTAGCAAAACATACAAATACTTGATTACTTTCTCATTTACAATTTTCTTTACTCTTATCTTTTAACTCTTCTTAACTAAAATCACAGGCCAGTCAGAATCCTGCTACATATACACTTTTTATACCTCCCCTTCCCCTTAATTTCTGGTCATAAATACTTGATTTACATAAACCTCTTCAGACATAATCTATTCAATTCAATGCCAAATATAAAAAATAAAAATTAAAAAAATCCTCCAATGATTAAATAATTAAAATAGAGCATTTAAACAGCCTTCCTAGATTTCACTGAGGATAAGCAGTCTGACTATATATTTCCTCCATACTGATTTGTTGTTGCTTCTATTTGATCAAGCAGTGATTTTTCTGCTGCCTCATCTGTTTTGATGCTGCTGATATTAACACAAGTGGATTTTCATAGAAATCAAAAGACATGCTATTACTGTGCATGAGCAGAACGCAATCCCACCGAGCTCCAGGAATGACAGAAAGTAACAAAACAAGCAATTTATTTGCAGACTGGACAGGGGTGAGCCTATTCCCATTTTCCTCTGCCTCTCTTTTTAGTGATGAGGAATAAGGATTTACACCAAAAAAACGCCGTCAGGATTCAAAAGGCAGGGACTACTTCTGAAGACAGATATTTAACGTGCATCTAAATTCAAGCCTGGTATCACTAGATATGCTTCTTTTAAATAAATCAATTCACTGATAACATCAATTCATTTTAAAAGTAAACACTTCCAGTATAAACTATTAGTTCGTTACAGAAGAAAATAACCCCAAGCTGATGCCGATTTATTACCCTATACATCAAATCACACCTAAAACACCTGCAAAACAACTTCGAACAAGAGTAGCCTATCTTACTAGCTTTCAGTAAACAAAAAAAATATTGTTGCTTACAGTTAATCTCCATTGAACAATATTAAAGTGGAAATTATTCACCGAGAGCTTGGAAGAGGAAGGCAGTGCCGACTGAATGTGCTCACACAAGCTAAGTTACAGCAACATACGGAACTTCCTTTCCAGACAACACTTTTTACACATAAAATCTTTCTCCAACTGCTGGAAAAACCAAACCTAATGTAATGATGCCTTAGCATATGACAAAACAAGAAGATAAAAATATAAAAGGTTAAACTGAAACAACATAGCATGCTAATTAAAATTTTTGTCAAGTTCCGGAAAGCAACAACTGTGGACACACCACCTCTATAATTGACAAAGCACAAGGAAATATTACCTGGTTATAAAATAAAGGCTGAATTGCTGAAGTCGATTCATTTGTTTAATTTCTGAAGTTCCTATTTTTTTAAAGGAAGATCATTCACACAAAAAATTTCTTTGTTTAAGCTGTTCTGCTTTTCTTGCTCGCCCTCATATCCAGATGCAAAGGAAGTGCTGCACTACCAGGAAGGAAGTTTTAACCAAGTTGATTATACATATGATTGCTCATTTTAAAAAAAGTCAGAATGCTTTTCCTGTTACAACAGTAAAAATACACTAACAGTACACCAGTGTAATTTTAACACACATGCATAGAAGACATGCTTAAAGCCTTTTAAAAATAGCTAAGAATAATCCAGGCAATAAATCTAATATATCCAAATAAAACATTTTAAAAATGAGAGCCTAACTACTTTATAAAAGAGTTAAATAAAAATAGTATATAAAACACAACTAAATCTGCAATGTTTCCTGATTTTTATTTTCATGGTAACAGCCCTTTGAGGACTCCCAACTTAAAATCATTAGAGTTTTTTAAGCCAGTCTCCATACAGGCGTCACATGGAGATGGTATCTGCCAAGGATAACCTCAGCAATAGAACTGCTGGGCAGTCTTCCTCCTAGTATTTTTAACTCATCCATTTATGATCACAAACACACAGTGAAATCCACTAGAAATGATGACTTAAGATTTGTGAAGAATTTAAACAATGGACTTTCAACCCTAATTCTTGTGGTTAGCTACAACCTGAAGTGCTGTTCCTTTCCTAAAAAAGAAAATCCCCACAGGAAAAGATTTGGGAAAACACATACAAATCAGAACGAAAAGACAGAAAAACCTCTCATCAAATCCTTTTTCCTTATGCCTTTTCCAGCAAAAACCTGAGCATTTTCAAGAGCAATAAGCAGTGCACATCCCTCAGCACTAGATATCCTACAAAAATGATGACTATTGAGAAGAAGAAAAAAATATGAAACAACTGAGAGGTCTTTTAGCAACAGTGAAATGGTGGTGTTTTGTGGTTTTTTTAATATATGTATGCCTCCTGTCTCATAAGACATCTTTCTTATTAAAAAGAAAAAAAAAAAAGGTCCCTCTGTACTGGCAAAAAAATCTGATAGTTTCTTACCTGCCTCCAATGTGCCACTCACAACCTCTGAAATAAACGTTTTGCCAAGGATAAAAAAAAGAAAATAGCCTCCACCATAGACATAGCTGTTCTTTCTCAGAGCATCATTTTGCTTGGCAGCTAAGACTGATTTCTTTTTAGAGGTTATGTTTCTCAGGAAGTGAGTTTGTGGAAAACAGAGTCTGTTCTAGCTCCCTCCACCTTTTAGAGCCAATATTTGAAATTTCTTAAAGAAGTGGCAAAGTTGCCCTGAACATTTTATCGCTGCCATGGAATCTACCCGTCTTGGCCAAGACATCTCTGACTCTAATCCTCTGCGCGTGTGCAGCCCGTCAGCATTCATCAGCCACAACTCTATGGCAGCTCAGCACTACACACCGCTTTCCTCTCTGGTACTCCTGTCTGAAAAAAGCACTCAGTTGCCAGAATTTTCATGCCAACAGGCTACGTATGTTTTTTGCAAATACCCCTCATTCTAAAAGTCATTGTGCTGACCCTATTAAGTAAACCTGGACTCATCACAGTTTCATTGGATTTTGCCAGACCTAAGAAAGCACGCTGGTTTAAAATGTCCTCGTCTTGCTGCCGTATGCTATGCACTTAAAGATTAATTTTTCAAACACATATACACACAAATATTCCATCTCCTGCTAAGCTATTCTAGTACTACTCCATTGATCAAGACCATCAAAATCAAACCAAAGGCAGCATCTCTGCCTCGTGCAGCAGAGAACTACCCTGTACACTGATGAATGAATGGAATTGTTTGACACTTTGATCCACTTAAAAAGACTGTGAAAGGTTCAAATATTCCCCCCCAAACTACATCAGATACAATGCAAAATGTGTGGCACTTGTGTAACTGCCCATACAAGACTGTCTCTTCTCCCACATTCATTTGGGCTGTGACCTGCCATGCCACTTCAGATGTCCAACTCCATCTCCAGTTCAGCTCTGACTTCTCTTCATCAGCTTCAGAAGCCAGCTCTTGGAGTGATGACTGTCTCTAATCTGTCTCTGCAATGACAGACAGAAAACTGTCCCCATTCTTAGAGTGACACCAAATTGTATCTACTTCCTGCTAATCCATGTGTAGGCATGGCAAAGTCATATTTCCTCATGCATATGCATCAGAAAACTTGGATGTTTATAACTGAAAATCATTCAAAAAAACTTTCTAAAACCTTTGTCAAGCCCAAGTATTCATGTTTCTATATTACTGTAATACCACCAACAAAAAAGGTAAGTCTCACTCTTTTTTATTTCTAATTCTAATTAGCCTCATCAATTCCAAATTTCCCTGTATCAGAACTGTCCTACCACTGGTCCACGAATCCTGATGGGGTGCAATGGCATGGGAGGTGGTGGGCCTGTAAAAGGTAACTAAGAAAAGCAAACAGGCTCGCCTTTGTTTCCAGTTGTGTTCCTATCTCATCACTCAGGTCAGCAAACTGATCATAACAACAACAACAAAAAAATTTGGTTAATTTTCAGCTGGATCAGTTCCTTAATCTGACTCACCACTTGCAGGAGTGGCAGGGCAGGGAAGGGAAAAGAAGGGAAGGAAGGGAATGGAGCCAGCGCAGTTTAGGGTAACTGAGACTGAAATATAATTCACAGCAGGCTTAGGAGATAAATTGTTGGGTAAACTTGTTAAATGATTTGAGAACACTGGTTGAAAGGTGCTTTAAAGAGACAATGTGGTATTATCATGAATTACTTCATATATTCTGTGACAAAAAATTCAAGATATCTCAAACTTCACTGCTTTGTTAGGACTGTGTTAGCGTTTTACCAGTTACTCATTCTTCACCAGGTTTTTTTATGCTTATTCTATTCCTGCTTCATGTGAAAACCTTATTTTTAAATTATTCTTTTCACTTTAGTGTGAACTCCTTCCCAGACAACATAACCTGCCAGAAAATAGGTACTATCAGAGTAAGAATTACCTGGTGCACACATTATGCAAATATAATAATAATCCATTTACATTCACAGTTTCGGATAAAGTTAACTTTAAAGATAAATTAAAAAACAAAACTACCACAACATGACCAAAAGTTTTCCAAGCAGCATACTACATCTACTTGCCAGCAATGTCCTGTAGCAGGAGGTCGCTTTGCATTTGCTGGATAGGAGTACAGTATATCTTCCCTGCATCTACGATGATCCAGTGCTGAACTATACAGGCACAATACAGCACTAACATGTTAAGCACAAACACAACAACAAAACCCACTTTACTCAGTTCTTTTGTCAAATCCTCTAGCAACTCCTAGCTCTCACGGGAATTAAATCCACGCAGCTTCCCATTAGCAAGTCAACTTCACAGATAATATAGTCACATTCTTCATCAAAAAGTATACTAATCAGCAGATAAAGCTGAACATCTCCGTCAGGAGGTTGCACAGTGAATCGGACTGCTATTCTGGCTGTAATGTTTTCAGGAACCCCTGCCTTCCCTACTGACCTTTGGGCATTTTGGTTCCTACACTAGGTGTCTCTTTGAGGGTGCTTCTGGAACAAACTAACTTCTAGCTGGTTCCAAAAATTTAGATAAGAGTTTTGGCGAAGTTCTAGTTAACCGGAGTTATACAAGTGATGGGTGATCTACCTTCAAAGCACCACT